GTGTGTGTGTGTGTGTGTGTGTGAGTGTGAGTCTGCTTCTACAAACGACGCTCATACATTAATGACACACAAGCACAGTGAGTTTGAACCAGAACTGCAGAACTGGCTGACTCAGAATCATTAATGAGTCATTCTAATGTACAGTAGAGTACAGTAGAGATGCAGTTGTGTGTGTTGAGTGTACACTTATTCATCGAAGGGATAGTTCACCCAAAAATACACATCTATTTACCCTTATGTTATTTCAAAACTGTATGACTCCTCTCGTGTTAGTTAGGTTAATTATCTGAATGTGCTCCTCCCGAACTTTGTTAATAAAACATTGTCAAAATTATTGATTTCTCTTTTATGCCAAAAATCATTAGGATATTAAGTAAAGATCATGCACCTAGAACTTAATGTTTGATTAGTAATATGCATTGCTAAGAACTTCATTTGAACAACTTTAAAGATGATTTTCTCAATATTTAGATTTTTTTGCACCCTCAGATTCCAGATTTTCAAATATTGTCCGATCCTAACAAACCATACATCAATGGAGAGCTTATTTATTCAGCTTTCAGATGATCTATCACCATTATGACTGTTTTTGGTGCAGGGTCACAAATAAGGTCATACACGACATGAGGGAGAATCAATGATGACAGAATGATAATTATTGGGCGAATGTCTTAATGCATTAAAACATTTAAAAAAAATACCAAACTCAATAAACATCATTAGGTAATAAATCATAGAATGTACACAGAAGCAGATATGAGCCCATAGTACGAAAGCAACGTGTTTAATTGCATCCATAGAAAACTGCTAGGAAAACGCTTAATGTGGCTTAATGCATTAAAATAGTGTTTTTAAATGACCAAACTCAGTAAACACATTATTAATAAATCATACTAAGTACAGTATACCTTCATAAGGACTTTTCACTCTGCGATTAACCCCGGGTTATCTTCGCCCTTTTAACCCCGGGTCATCTTCGCCCTTTTAACCCCGGGTCATCTTCACCCTTTTAACGCCGGGTCATCTTCGCCCTTTTAACGCCGGGTCATCTTCGCCCTTTCATTATTAATAAATCATACTAAGTACAGTATACCTTCATAAGGACTTTTCACTCTGCGATTAACCCCGGGTTATCTTCGCCCTTTTAACCCCGGGTCACCTTCGCCCTTTTAACCCTTTTAAACCCGGGGTTATCTTCGACCTTTTAAACCCGGGGTTATCTTCGCCCTTTTAAACCCGGGGTTATCTTCGCCCTTTTAAACCCGGGGTTATCTTCGCCCTTTTAAACCCGGGGTTATCTTCGCCCTTTTAAATTAAAATGGTGACGAAAAACGCATCAATTGGAGTGAAGAGGAGTTGAATTATTACCTTATAGTCGGGAAACGTCAATTCAGGAAAAACCAATAAGCCGTTATGTAAGCAGGTCACTGCTGATTTCATCCAGTCAGAGTCTAACACCTCGAATATGCAAATAAGAACGTGTTTCTAACCTAGGATTAATTGTTAGCCCAGTGTATTATGATCATCAGTGTGAAGCACGATAACCAGGGATTTCCTTAGAATGACCCAGGGTTAACTAGTTTTAAAAATTCAGTTATATGTCCACAGGTACAGGATAATCATCTGTACTCACATTTGATTTTTATAGACCTTATGCATCAATATATATATCTTCAGTGATATTATCAAAGCAAAGCTGCAGTAGATGCTTCCATCAGCGCTCCCAAAGCTTCACAGGCCTTTAACACTTTCTGGATCCACATGTCACTCGCTAGCATTAGGCAGGTTTCATTTATACGCGGTTAGTGTTGATGATCGCATTGTTTTTCATATGCACATGCTTACATAAGAGAGCGCTGGTTTCTGCGTCTTCCTGGTCTGTGTTTTTGATCGAGTGATTCTAGACTCATTCAGGAGATGCGTAATAGCGCCCCCTAGCGTTTAACAGTGAAAACACGGAAAATTCTGTGTTTGGCAGGGAAAGAGTTAAGAGTTCAGAGTGATTGTTCCATCAGAAAGGCCACCAGATGCGATTCAAACCTGAAAATGCGGTTCTCAATAAATCAATCGATCCAGAGCTCCGCCGCGATAAATCACAGATCGGGCAATCCCCGCCGTGTGCTCGGAAAATAAACGCTCTTCCGTCTCTCGGTGAATCTACATTATTCCAGGAATCGTCTGGTTCAGTGAACACAGTGTCAGAAGATCAGATCAGTGTTTTAAAGTGTGTTTAACGCTCGGCTGACCGGAGAAGCGTGCGTCGACCGAACCGGCCGTTCTCCTCAAACAGAGACCTCCGCTGAGGTCAGGACGTGACACGGGTGTCTCCGCGAGCGCTTCAGTCCTCGGTGTCCGGCTGCACTCCCAGCATGCCGTGCAGCTCCTCCACCGTGTATCCCAGCAGGTTGTGCAGGTCGCAGACGAAGCGGTACACGTAGCGCTTCCCTGACGTCTTGTGGATGATGTTCTTGTCGTAGTAGTAGCGCAGGCCTCGACTCAGCTTCTCGTAGTTCATCTTAGGCTTGTTTTTCCTCTTTCCCCAGCGGCGCGCCACCTGACGGCACAAGAACAGCCTCGTGAGATAACATTATCATGATATCGTCTCGATGTCATCACGGTCACATGACGATATGAAACAATATAGGTCTTCCAGGCAAAAACTGTAGTTTTTAAAATATATTTAACTTCTTATTCTAACATAAAAGATGTTTAGAGTTGTGTTTAGAGTCATTATGCTTTGGCACAGTATCTGTCAAATGAACTCAAACCGAAAGCACTATATGATTAATCCCTTCATCAAGTCTGTTTCAAAGCGAAGCGCTCACTTCGTTCAGACCATCAGCTCGTGATCCGGTGTTTTCTGCGTCTCAGATCGGCTCGTTCACACTGAATGAATGCCGTCCACTCCTTTATTTCACGTGCTGTGAGTTTAGCTCGTGTTTGGGAACGCAACAGACACCAGTTAGGCTTTATTTACACGGCAGGGGCTCGATTAAATATGTGCGGTGTGGACATAGAATGAGTAAACATGCTGATGGTCATAACTGTGACCGGTGGGATAATTTTTTTGTATCTTAGTATACCTTTTCAGTGTTGTATAAGATTTTTTTATGTATAATAATAACCATAGAATGAGATGAAAGTTTAATAACTGAGCTGAGATATAGAAGAATTTTTCTGACTGCAGAAATAATTTAACTTCAGGACACACATTATCCCACCGGTCACCTTTGTGACCAACCATAAAACACACTCTTCAATAAAAATGTATTATTTTAAGGGGTGACTAATGACACATTGTGATATTTTCATGTCTGAGAAAAATCTGGGATTACATGGGTTAAGGTCAGGAATCAGATACTTTTTTTTGGTTTCGGTAAAGCAGGAGGAAAAAACTAAACCAATTGCTTTTTCTCTCTCTAAAATTTAACAATGTTTACTGAACAAATTGCTCTCTTTAAATAAATTAAATTATAATTAGTAGTAGTATATTTTTATTTAATGCCATGTCAGCATCTTCACTGCAAAAAATGATCTTCTTAGTATTTCTGTCTTGTGTTCTAGTTTAAACATCTAAACATTCTTGAATCAAGATGCATTTAATGTACAAGTAAAATGATTTAAGATTTTAAGTCTTGTTTTCTATATATATATATATATAAAAAAAAAATCTGCCAATGGAGTAAGAAAAAGAATCTTAATTCAAAGCTAAACAAGATGATCGTTCTTGCCCCGCTGGCAGATATTTTCACAGACGATCCCCAGCCCTAGATGAGGGCCTGAGGCGTGAGATCTGACCTCGACTGGTGTAGCTGATGCTGACGGAGCTGAGCTGAGGTTTGGGGTACATGGAGAGCTCCTGACCGAACGCCAGCAGACCCGACTCCTCAGACGTCTCGAAGAGCTCCCGCAGGAGACTGCTGCAAGACTCCGGAACCTTCAGAGAACACTCCTCCAGACCGAGACCTTCACACACACACACACACACACACACGCTCTATCAGAGTTTGTTCTGAACGCTACTACAGCTCAATAAAGAGATAACTAACAGAAACACTAGGGTTGGGGACCGTTTGAATTTCATCAATTCTAGTTCCACTTATCGATTCCCAGTTTCGATCAAAACATTACATAAAAGTCAAACATGTAGATATCAAACATTTATTCTGTCTCTTTTTGCAAAACATTTAATTGCTGCTGAATACCATGAACAAAAATCAGCCGGCTGCATAAAAACTGGACTTGATTAAGAACGGTTTGTGTGCAAAATAGAGCTCCACGATTCTTGGGGCCACTCCCTGCGGAGCACCAATCACAGAGAGCTGAAGACTCAGACACCCAAACATTCGTTTTCATGATGCTTTTACACAGGTCTTTAGGAAGCCGTCAGTGTAAATTCCCATCAGGTATTAATTTGGAAAAACGCAATAAAAAGATGCGTATTATAAGTAGGTATTTAATATGAATAAATATGCAATGATGTGATTAATAAATTAATGAGACGCACCGGTGAATCCGGCGAGCACGGCGGCGGGGATGACGGGTTTGCCCTGCTCCAGCGGCTCGTTCCTCTCCTGGACGTAGTCTTTGAAGGACAGGCCCTGTTTGCCGAGGCCCAGCGGAGCCACGCAGAGCTCCTCCTCGAAGCTGTCGTAGGACGGGACGCGCTGGGCATCAGCGAGCGACGAGTGGCTCCCCCAGGAGCGGAGGACACTCTCCGAGCCATCCACGCTCTCCACCGACGACACTGTGAGGAACACACCAACCACAACTCCTCAGACACTTAACCCAGTCAGTCCCACCGCTCACAATAGCGACCGCAAACAAAGCTTGCATTTATAAAGCTCTAAAAATACTGCCGACTGCTGTTTTAGTGCTTTTCTGCAAATATGGAATAAATAAAGTGTCCCGATTAAATATGTGCGGTGTGGACATAGAATGAGTAAACATGCTGATGGTCATAACTGTGACCGGTGGGATAATTTTTTTGTATCTTAGTATACCTTTTCAGTGTTGTATAAGATTTTTTTATGTATAATAATAACCATAGAATGAGATGAAAGTTTAATAACTGAGCTGAGATATAGAAGAATTTTTCTGACTGCAGAAATAATTTAACTTCAGGACACACATTATCCCACCGGTCACCTTTGTGACCAACCATAAAACACACTCTTCAATAAAAATGTATTATTTTAAGGGGTGACTAATGACACATTGTGATATTTTCATGTCTGAGAAAAATCTGGGATTACATGGGTTAAGGTCAGGAATCAGATACTTTTTTTTGGTTTCGGTAAAGCAGGAGGAAAAAACTAAACCAATTGCTTTTTCTCTCTCTAAAATTTAACAATGTTTACTGAACAAATTGCTCTTTCTTTAAATAAATTAAATTATAATTAGTAGTAGTATATTTTTATTTAATGCCATGTCAGCATCTTCACTGCAAAAAAAATGATCTTCTTAGTATTTCTGTCTTGTGTTCTAGTTTAAACATCTAAACATTCTTGAATCAAGATGCATTTAATGTACAAGTAAAATGATTTAAGATTTTAAGTCTTGTTTTCTATATATATATATATAAAAAAAAAAAATCTGCCAATGGAGTAAGAAAAAGAATCTTAATTCAAAGCTAAACAAGATGATTGTTCTTGCCCCGCTGGCAGATATTTTCGCAGACGATCCCCAGCCCTAGATGAGGGCCTGAGGCGTGAGATCTGACCTCGACTGGTGTGGCTGATGCTGACGGAGCTGAGCTGAGGTTTGGGGTACATGGAGAGCTCCTGACCGAACGCCAGCAGACCCGACTCCTCAGACGTCTCGAAGAGCTCCCGCAGGAGACTGCTGCAAGACTCCGGAACCTTCAGAGAACACTCCTCCAGACCGAGACCTTCACACACACACACACACACACACACGCTCTATCAGAGTTTGTTCTGAACGCTACTACAGCTCAATAAAGAGATAACTAACAGAAACACTAGGGTTGGGGACCGTTTGAATTTCATCAATTCTAGTTCCACTTATCGATTCCCAGTTTCGATCAAAACATTACATAAAAGTCAAACATGTAGATATCAAACATTTATTCTGTCTCTTTTTGCAAAACATTTAATTGCTGCTGAATACCATGAACAAAAATCAGCCGGCTGCATAAAAACTGGACTTGATTAAGAACGGTTTGTGTGCAAAATAGAGCTGCACGATTCTGGATACACTGAGACTTTTTCTTCATTTAAATGGAGGTTGCGGTTCTCACTATTCTGAAGAAAAAAATATTAGACAACTAAACAATCTTATAGAATTTGTAAACGAAGACGTGTATCGGATTCAATCCGGAAATCAGTGCGTGCGTGCAAACGAAGACGTGAATCGGATTCAATCCGGAAATCAGTGAGTGCGTGCAAACGAAGACGTGAATCGGATTCAATCCGGAAATCAGTGCGTGCTTGCAAACGAAGACGTGAATCGGATTCAATCCGGAAATCAGTGCGTGCTTGCAAACGAAGACGTGAATCGGATTCAATCCGGAAATCAGTGCGTGCTTGCAAACGAAGACGTGAATCGGATTCAATCCGGAAATCAGTGCGTGCGTGCAAACGAAGACGTGAATCGGATTCAATCCGGAAATCAGTGCGTGC